AAAGTTATTATTTAGCGGTAAAATGTCGAATTTTGGCAGTTATTATTATAGGTATTATGTATTTTTTTTATTTACTGAAATTTGCAGTAAAATTGATTACGTATTTTTTTTATTTACTGAAATTTGCGGTAAAATTGATAGGTACGCGAACTCCTGTGGTTAGAATATCAACATAGAAGGTGAAAGTTTGAACATCAACATAGAAGGTGAAAGTTAGAACATCAACATAGAAGGTGAAAGTTATTATTTAGCAGAAAAATGTCGAATCATGGCAGTCTTAGTGAAAAAGAAAAATCATCACAGGACATTCGGACAGACAGTTAAAACAATTTTACAGGACCAAAATAGTTTTCACGAGTCCAATTGACCAAAGCTTATATCATATAATGATCATAACAATGTCTCTTTATATATGAATCAATAAACAAATAAGGCGTTAGATTATAACTGAAATATTTCTTTTTCTTCCCTGGTACTGTTCTATCGAAATATTTTAGAAACATCGTGGCGGAAGTAGGTTTAACAATTATGATCGACAGAACATTTCTAATAATGTGTTTTGGTATTAGTTAAAGCATCTATATGATGAAATGGAAATTAAAAAATTTAAAACCCAACCAAAACAAACCTTGGACAAACGGACCGATTTTACTAGTTAGTACATCGGACTATTAAGATTTTCACCTGTTTTGTCTGACGGACCGGTGCTTTTGGGATAGACAGTTTTGGTAGAACTACCGGGGTAATTCTAGAAACATTCTAAATTTTATGGCTAGCCAATATTCTGTCAAGCAGAACCCTATCTCTGGCACACACTGACACAGACACTTTTTTCTTTGTCTTTATTTTCTTTATCTCCCCCAAAAGCATCAAACCTCTGCACACTATTTGAAATATATCGACTGGTAATTTTCCATAAAACCATAGACATTTTTCCGATGTTATCAGGTCTAGTACGATCACTAGATTTAGCTATGTAGCTTGATTTACCTACTTAGCTTTATTTACCTACCTGAGGTAGCTTTATTTAGCTACCGAATCAATCTTATTTCTTAACAAGCTAATTCAGAGAATTCGTGTCCCCCGCTTAGGGAAAAAGTCGGCTCCCCCTGACTGAATTTGTAGAATTATTAAATGTATACATGTATACTGAAGGAAATAAAATACATGTATGTCAATATGCATATAAAGATTTGATTGCTTATTCTTTATTATGTGTATAGAAGATTTTTTTATATGGAATATTTATCACACTGTAATGATGATTTTATAACCTCATAAATTTTTCATTTCACATGCTGAATACTATCATTTAGTCAAAAAAAAAAGGTATTTAAAAAAAAAAAAGAAAGGATCGACCGAGAATCGATCCCGGGACCTCTCACATTCGAAGCGAGAGACATGACCACTACACCACGGTGTCGCTTTACAAGATGTGAAGTATATGCAGAACTGAAGTCACATACATGTATATATTCATGTTTTCATGTTCGGTATTCTCAAAATTTTACACAATCCATGGTGTTTGATTTATTTAGCCTTTATTAAACAGTTCTAATAGATGTAATAAGAACATAAAGTCCGCTGAGAACCTGTTTTATACGCAATAACTCTCCTCATGCCCCTGCGCTAAAAATAGCGACAAGTAATACTATAAATACTAATAAAACAAACGGGGCGGGGCACTTTGAGAGGGGCGAGAGACGTCCTAGGGAGTTTTGGTATAAAATTACATTGCATAAGCTCAAAATCTTCTTGAAATATCGCCCAGAAATGATAGTGTTACACACAGACAGAATGTATAAATTTACGACCTTGAACTTTGACCTTTTGACCTCAAAATCAATAGGGGTCTTCATTAGGCCACAGGGAGTTGTTATGTCAAATTTCATTGCAATAGCTCAAATGGTTCTAGAGATATCGTGTGGAAACGAAAATGTTTTAACAGAGAGAATTTGCTTATTTATGACCTTGACCTTTGACCTTTTGACCTCAAAATCAATAGGGGTCTTCTTTAGTGCATAGGGAGTTGCTATGCTAAATTTCATTGCAAAAGCTCAAAGGGTTCTCGAGATATCGTGTGGAAACGAAAGCGTTACAGACAGACAGAAAGACGGACGGACGGACGGACAAACCCAAATTAATATCCCCCACTTTTCAAGCAGAGGACAAAAAAGCATTTTTCTCAGGATGTGCAGAAAATCTTATTTTGATGCAGTGATCAATTTCAACTTTGAACTCATCTGAAAACAATTCATGAGCAAATCACTCTTGAAGAAATGTCTTTTTGTCCCCCGCTTGAAAAGTGGGGGATATTAATTTGGGTTTGTCCGTCCGTCCGTCCGTCTTTCTGTCTGTCTGTAACGCTTTCATTTCCACACGATATCTCGAGAACCCTTTGAGCTTTTGCAATGAAATTTAGCATAGCAAATCCCTATGGACTAAAGAAGACCCCTATTGATTTTGAGGTCAAAAGGTCAAAGGTCAAGGTCATAAATAAGCAAATTCTGTCTGTTAAAACACTTTCGTTTCCACACGATATCTCTAGAACCATTTGAGCTATTGCAATGAAATTTGACATAACAACTCCCTGTGGCCTAATGAAGACCCCTATTGATTTTGAGGTCAAAAGGTCAAAGTTCAAGGTCGTAAATTTATACATTCTGTCTGTGTGTAACACTATCATTTCCGGGCGATATCTCAAGAAGATTTTGAGCTTATGCAATGTAATTTTATACCAAAACTCCCTAGGACGTCTCTCGCCCCTCTCAAAGTGCCCCGCCCCGTTTGTTTTATTAGTATTTATAGTATTACATGTCGCTATTTTTAGCGCAGGAGCATGAGGAGAGTTATTGCGTATAAAACAGGTTCTCGGCGGACTTTGTGTTCTTATTACATCTATTAGAACTGTTTAATAAAGGCTAAATAAATCAAACACCATGGATTGTGTAAAATTTTGAGAATACCGAACATGAAAACATGAATATATACATGTATGTGACTTTGGTTCTGCATATACTTCACTGCACGTAAAGCGACTCTGTGGTCTAGTGGTTATGTCTCTCGCTTCAAATGTGAGAGGTACCGGGATCGAATCTCGGTTGAATCGTTCTTTTTTTTTTTTTTTTTTTTTAAATACTTTTTTTTTTTACTAAATGATAGTATTCAGCATGTGAAATGAAAAATTTATGAGGTTATAAAATCATCATTACAGTGTGATAAATATTCCATATGAAAAAATCTTCTATACACATAATAAAGAATAAGCAATCAAATCTTTATATGCATATTGACATACATGTATTTTATTTCCTTCAGTATACATGTATACATTTAATAATTCTACAAATTCAGTCAGGGGGAGCCGACTTTTTCCCTAAGCGGGGGACACGAATTCTCTGAATTAGCTTGTTCTGTGCAGTTGCAATCAAAGTTCTGAAAGTTTTGAGGCTATATAGGACAGTTAAAACAGTTACCGTATAATCCCTATTAACCGCCCCTGCCCCTATAAGCGCCCCCTTAGGTCTTTTTCAATTGTCAGGAAATAAGGGCCCCCTGTAGGCTGTACAGTGATTAAAATAAAAGAGAATGGTTTAAAAAAAAATTGAAGAAAGTGAAAATGAAACTTGTCTATTACCCAATATCTCGGTGGAAAATGAATAATTTAGCATAATTTGGGTGGATTATCTTCACTTTAAGTAAAGTTAGACATTATTTTAGTGGTTCCTTGTATTTATTTTTTTTTTTCAAAAGATTTTTGAAGTTAACATATGACATTAGATATCATAAGGAGAATACCAAAATAACCGCCCCCTTTTTGCAATTTTCTAAGCGCCCGGGGCGGTTAATAGGGATTATATGGTACTCCTTGAATGAAATTACAAAGAAGTCCAGTTCTGGTTAACATGATAATAGATCGGTAATTATTCAGCATGATGTGAAGTAAAACTCATCCATGCCTTACTACACATAAGAGAGGAAACAGTTACCCAAACAATAGAATTACATGTTTTGCTCTAAATTGTACAAATGCTTTAAGAACCCTCTCTACACTGCACACTAAAGAGTTCTGATTCTAAGGTATTTTTCAGCAGTTAGAGTGATCTGCCCCTAGATCTAAATTCTAAAAATTGAAATTTACAATATATTACACAATTTGTAATGAATACAAGTATTCTTAACATTTTTAAAGGCCAAAATCAATTAACTGAACCTTTTATTTACATGTATTTTCTCTAATGAAGTAATTAACATTGATTTGTATTCACTGATTCTGTGTTGTCTTTGAACATTTTTCCCAGGGGTAAATGCCACACATCATATAGTGAAAATTAAATAAATAAGCTTAATATTAACTGCTTTATACAATATATTTTTCTCAATGTCCAAAAAAACTTTTGCACTGGTGTATAGAGGGTCCTTAATGTATAAACTATATCTGCTTTGGATTGGGTTTTTTTAAACCTCCCTAGTATAAATATTAATAGTCATTTACTTTTGATTTTTTGTCTTTTTTTAATAAAAAGAAAAAGAATTGTTAAAAGTTGCATTGAAATACCCGGGTACCTAAATAAAGCTACCTGAGGTAGGTAAATAAAGCTACATAGGCAATTCTACCTACATAGCTAAATCTAGTGATTGTACTGGACCTGGTTATTATAGAAACAGGTTTTTAGCCATGCAATCAAAATCCAAGAACATATTTTGCCAGAGATTAGTCCAGTCCAAAGACTGTTTCTACTTTATTGACAGGTACTTGTATTTAAACCTATTCCAGGTAGCTCGTTTTACCTACTTTTTACTTAACTTGCACTTTGCGGCAAAATACAGGAGCAGCACAATATTTCTTAATACTGAGTTACTGACATACTGTTGATGAATAGGTATGAAAGCTGATCCCTAACACGTCCTAGGACATAATTTTTTTTTTAACCTTTCCATATCTAGCTTCTTTATTCATGCTTCTCATTATCAATTAATTAAATATGTTCTTTCTACAGATCTTTACAAGATAATAAGTCCAGACAAAACAGATGAAGAACGTCTAGCTGCCCTACACAGAACATGCTTAGAGGTTTGTAAAATCGTGCTTCAAGCTTCCACTCTCTGTGTTACTTTCTGATTATCAAAGTCTGTATCATGATTGGTTCAAAATGTTCTCTTTGTTAATTGTAGTATACACTGCAGAAGTTGGAGGAGGAAAATCCAAACTTAGAAGGACTTGAAGATTTAAAGAAAACATGTAAGGTGTAAATTAACAGGGGTCTTATTGTAGAGTACACATAGGACTAAGTACTACTATCAGTGACTGTACCTGTAAAGTACAAGTCCTTTGATGATGTGAGACTAAGTTGTAGAGTGTAATCAAAATCAGCTTAGTGCTGTACATTTGAGAAGGAAGATGTTAAACTATTTCAGTAATACATGTAGTAATATATATATGTCATTAAAGATCAAGACTTTATAAAATGTATTTTACAGTGTTGGACCAAGGACTTAGAAAGATATCTGAATTAGAAGAAAATGGAACTTTTAAACAAGCTTGTAACAATGACAGGCATGTAAAATTATACTCAGTCATTGTTTAAATACTTGTATGTTAATAATGCATATATCTCAAAATTAAATCAAATAATTAAATTAGAAATTAGGCTATCTAAATTTAATGCTCTGGTTCTCAGGCCAATTTTCTCCAAAGCAGATGCGGGCAGGAGGCATTTTATTTATCATTTTATTGGCAATAAAGTAGATAAGGGAGGTACTTTTTTTATTTTCGAATTTTCTTTAACATAAACATGATAAAGATAACTTTTTTTATTCACAGATATACTTTCCATGTCTGTTTGCTTTATCCATTGCTTATCAGCGTGTAAACATCGTAGGCAATGTCTTCGATTGTATTTTCAAAGGAAGTGACCAAAATCTCTGCAAATGGCTACCGGAAGTGATAGTTGAATACTAAACTATGAAAAAATGACGGAACTTTTTTTCCAGATTGGTCTCCGCAGTACCAACTTTTTATTTTATCAAAAATACAATAAAGTTAGCAATGCGGCTACCTCAAAATGGATGCGCGCGAGCCTGAGAACCAGAATCTCAATTTAATATAGCCTTAGATTATCAAATTTAAATACTGTACATGTACTTTTGTCCACGTGGGATTAAGAAGAAGGTATGGTTTTCGCTTTACTGCGCCCTAAAAGTGTAATGACATCAAAAAGTTTTGAAACTGGCTTAAATATTAGTTAAATATATGACTGTGATAAATCAGGAAAGAATATTGCACAAAGGATTACCATTCTGCAAATATGACGTCATTAATATGAAGCATTTCTCTATTTTCAACAGAAAAAGCCTCAAAATGGCCCATTTCAAGGGTGATTTTCCTTTAGAAAACAGTGTCCACAGCCGTTGCCCATGTTAATTTTCTGATATTTTGTGCAAAATTCAATAACAAATCACATATCTCAAGATCTTTGTGGGCAATGCCTGTGGACAATGTTATCTGAAAGAAAATTCCATTGAAAACTGGTGTCTTCTGCAACTTTTGAACAAAATACGGGAAAATGCACATGTTTATGATGTCACAATTAGCATTTAAAAACACATGTGAGAAAAATGATTTGTATGATTTATCTGCATTGAATTTCAATTATTTGAAAAGCATAAGTTTTCAACTTTTACACCAGTTTCATTTTTTAGAAAATCACAGGGCAAAATTTGTATTGAAACCATACCTTGTTCTTTCCACTATCTACGCGAACGCAATTTTTCCACGGAAATTTGTCACAGCATACTACAGTTTCATAAAGGAAATAAAATGACAATCCAAGATATCAGTGTAATTTCATACTTGCGGATTGAATAGAAATTTTGTTTCCGCGGAATTATGAATCCGTGGAATTAAGTACTTTTACAGTACATATATGTTATTAACGACATGTATTTACTTTTACTGTCAATTTGATATTTTTTTCAGAATTTTGACAGAAAACCCCCATAATTTAGAAATGGATGAAATAATTGAAGCCTTAATCAGCTACAACAAAAGGTATGTGAAAAATCTTCACAGCCATTGACAATTTATTTCATTAGACATATCAAAATATCAGATTGATTACAGAAGGCATGATTATATTTTTAAGAAAGCAATTTCTAATGATACTTATACAATCAATAAAGCACCTATATATGTACATGTTCTTCCATAAAATAAATAATGAATTCTTTTAAATGGACACCTTTTGTTTTTGACTTGATTTGCATGTATCAGAATATTTCATGTATGTAGTAATGTTCATCATTTATCTTTTGTGACATAAAATAATTCTGACAAGAGTAATTCTTTAGAGTAAATTTTCTGAAGACCACTTTATAACTTTGGTAAAAAAAATTAAAACTTTATTACTCATTACATGATAAATACTGATGTTGTTACAGACTGGAGGAAGAGTCAGACCAATGGGAGAAGTTACTGAAAGATTCCAATAAAGTTGTGTTAGAAATGGAAGCTCAGTAAGTCATTTCTAGTTAAAGTCATATATGGCATATTTTTTATAAGATCAGACTAACTAAAATTGAAAAGATCTTTCTATACTTTTTTTGTAAATTTACACATAGGAAACCAGATAAGTTATCTCCTTTAACGTGGAAGGATGTTGATCAAGAAAAAGCTGCCCAGTATTTACCTGAGCCTCTGGATGTCAGCCTCTGTAACAGATTGGAGAGAACCATAGAGAACGTCAACAAATCAGTAAGTCTATGTCTGTTCTTTTATGCTTCACCATGAATATAGCCATTGTATATAGGGTTTGTTATGTCTGTCTTTCTGTTTGTCCTTCATCATGCATTGCGCCCAACCCAGTTTCAAAGAAACTGTTCAATACAACCCTTGTATGACACATATTTTGGTAATTTATTATATGTGCTTTGTTAATGGATACAATATTTTATAAACTTAAAATCTGTTTTTGCAATTGCAGAATTTTTTTTTTATTTTATTTCATCAGAGCCAAAGGTTTGTATTTCTATGTCCTAACCTGAGAAATATTCAAGATATTTATACTGATAGTAAGGAGAAGTATTTTTGCTTTTCATTTTTTCCAGGTAGAAAAATTTGGCAACACAGTTTTGATTGTTCAGAATATTCAAACCCTCTGTGAAAAAATTCTGAAAGAAAAGTCGGAAAAACTCAGTAAGTTGATGCATTTTCTGGAATCTAGATGATATATTTATTATACCCCCGCAAACGAAGTTTAGGGGGGTATATTGGAATCACCATGTCCGTCTGTCTGTCCGTCTGTCTGTAGACAAGATTTTGTCCGGACCGTTTCTCAGAAACTGTTGGATGGATTTGTCTGAAAATTTATACACTTATTATTCACCATATGAAGGTGTGCACCTGGGATTTTCATCATGATTGGATGATTTTTCTGCATTTTACAGGCGTTTTTTCTTTTTTATTTTGTGATTTTGTTTGGCTCATAACTAGAAAACTATTAGACTTACAATCATCAAACTTGGACAATTTATGCATCTTGGGTAGACGATGTGTCACGACCTATTTCAAGGTCACTGTGACCTTTAATTTAAGTGATTTTTAAAAAAAAAAAAATAAGACTTTAAAATTTTAAATTTCATAATCCTAAAAAATGTAAAAATATAGTTGTATCCTTATTAATAAAAAATGTTAAATTAAGTAAAAACTTATTTTTTATCATATACTTTACAGCAAATTCTGTAACAAATGTTAATGATTTGAAAGGAATTCAGTTTGTCCCATGGGCATAATTATCAAGCACTGGTCAAGGAGAAATTTTGATAGCAGAAATGTGCATGTCAAATTAGGGTGGAAATTAATGAGTTCATTGTCGGGAGTTAACTAACAAGAGCATCATGCTGTGTTATCTTAATTTATCTCTTGGGAGTTGGGCAAAAAGAAATGGCCTTATAGTTGCTTGTGTTAATTAAGAGTTCTTGATGGCTGTAGTTCAGATAAAGATCTTTCAGTTGGTGTAATGTAATTAAAACAAATTGATGTTTTAGTGTATGATTAAAACTGAATTAGTATTGAATAATATAATTAAAATTAATTATACATTTGTTCATTAAAAAAAAAATTACATTTCAATTTTTATATATTTGCAACAAATTGCAGTCATGTCTCACTTAGAATTTTATAGTCTAAAGAATAATTAATTTTTGATTTTTTTTATTAGACTGTAGCATTTCCATTATTTCATAAAATATGCAATAAACAATTGAAATCTGCAGATGGATATTTGTTAAGCTCTAACACAGCCAGTTTAGAATTATATGATGTATTATTTGTTTTAATTAATCCCTACACTGTAAGTCTCTTAGAGATGTATGTACAATATTTTAAGCATGATAAGAAATGGAAATTAGATCATTGAAATCTGTGTCAATCTGTTAATCAAGGTTACTTGATTTTCTTGCACCCTAACCAATTTATGATTATCGAACAATATTTGATGGGGGTATCATGCTGTGGCGGGGCACTTTATTAGACAATAGTGAACACCTCTTACTAGATCCATAAAATATTTCTGAATTGGCACCTATTCCGAAAAACCCAGCGGGGGTATTTGTCCCTATTGGACAGTTCTAGTTATATGCATGTTATGGAATATCTAAGTGATGAATTAAAATTTGCATATCATGGAAAATCTACTGGTAAGTGATGAATTGAAATTTGCATACAATGGAATATCTAAGTGATAAATTAGAATATCACCGCCCTTGCTAATAATGACAAAAATAAATCCCCGCTAAAAATTCTGCTAATATGGTGTTGATTTATAAAGTTGACAAAGTTTTTTTTTTCAATAAGAATATATTATAATATAATATAGAAAAAACAATAATTTTTATACGCCCGTCTTAAGACGGGATGTATTATGTTATAGGCTTCGTGTCCATCCGTCTGTCCGTCTGTCTGTTAGCTTTTTTGTTTCCGGCTCATAACTTTAATACTACTAGGCCTAGGATTATCAAACTTTGTCATCTGCTGCATCTTGGGTAGAAGGTGTGTCGCGCACAAAAAGTAAGTCGCTCTGACCTTTAATTAAGAAGTTATAGCCAAATATGGAAAAATCCTTTCCGGCCCATAACTAGAAAACCATAAGACCTACAATCATCAAACTTGGCCAGTTTATGCATCTTAGGTAGAAGGTGTGTCGCGACCTATTTCAAGGTCACTGTGACCTTTAATTTAAGTGAATTTTTTTTTAAAAAAATATGTCTTTTTACTATTCATTTACATATCCCAAATAATGTAAGAGTATTGCACTGTTCTTATTAAAAAAGTGTTAAAGCAAGAAAATACTTATTTTTTTTTAAGCATATTCTTGACAGCAATCTATAACAAATATAATGTATGTCAGAGAAATCCTGCCTCTCCCATGAGTGTAATTATCAAGCACTGGTCAAGAAGAATTTTGATAACAGAAAATTGCATGTCAAATTAGAGAGAAATTAATGGGTTTTGAGTGCCAGGAGTTAACTGACAGAGCATTGGTGTTATATATATCCCTTGAGTATTGGGCAAATGGGTAAGCCTGTTTGATTAAAAATAGCTCTTGTTGACTAGCTTAAGTTTTAAAATGAATTTGATGAAAAGCAATTAAAACTAATTTGATATTGCATAATAGACTAATCTGATATTACATGTATGTAATATTATTAATTTAAAAACTA